CCTTCTGTGGGACAAGGAAAGATTGTAGCCCCTTGACACTTCTTGGTATATAGCCATCAGGGTTTTGTTATACTTCACAACCTTGAATTTATGTTCTGTCTTTTTCATATTTTAGTCTGCTCCCCATATTTGTTCACTAAACTTTTTATTAATCTAGGCAGGTATCTCTGCTAGATAGCAAGTTGTTTTATGTACTGCAATTCATGAGATCTCTCCTTGAAAGTAGAAAAGTGTACAAACACCCTTTTTACTAAGGCTCTAAAAGCTGTTACTTTATATTGGGAGGGATTATAAGAGGAGGATGAAATAAAAATTGGATTGTATGAGGGTTTGCAGTATACCGCAAACCATCATACAATCAATTATGTTGGGTTTGTTTTATGAGCTGGTTTTTGGTTGTGTAAGTGTTTTGAATATTATCCAGTATTTAGTGCATTTGTTATTCAGTAAATTTTAAATTCATTAAAGAAGATTGCATGCTTGAAAACTGTCTTGTCCACCACTAGAAATGTTAATATAAACTTTGAAAAGTTTTAGTTTGTTTATTTTATTAATTAAAGGAATAAAATGTTAATAATGAATAATAGAATGTTTTGTATTGTAAATAGATCTATGGATGAATGGTTCAAGTAGCATTTCTACTTCTGTTGCATTCATTTTTTGGTTGGCCTTGGTGTGATAAGACCTCCAAATTGTTAAAATCTTATTTATTAGATTATCTAACTCTATCTAAATTAAAGTCATGGGCTAAAAGTATCGTTTATTATTATTATTAGTTTAGTACTGTTGACAGCATTTTGTGATTCTAATATAATAGATTTTGGAAATAATAGATAAGACTTGTTTGTTCCCATACATCATTTATAGTGGAATTACAGTATTTGTGAATATCAGACTGCAGCTGTTAGTACCAGGAATGCCCTTTGGATAGTGTCTCTGCAGTTATTCCCTATGATCTTGGTTGGAAATGTTTGTTTCCCATACATTTAATACAATTTGTTTCTCTTTCTTATCTTGCCTCATAGTTTTTGAATTGACCCTGACATTTTCAATACAATAAACAACTAATATCAGAACATCCTTTATTAATCCATTATATTGAGATTCAATAGTATTTGTTTATCATAATCATTAGTTAGCAAATGTTGAAAGTGTTTATCAACATCCAGATTATCACCTAAATTTCTGTCAATGTTATGTATATTGTTTATAAAATTCATGAAGATAGTGTTTTGTTTATAAATAAAATTATAATACATCTGTAAACATAGTCAATATATTCAGAACTAACTTACTTTTCATATGACAAATTATTGTTTTTCATTATCATTTTTTACATTAAATATTTTAAAAATAATTTTCAAAAATCTTTATAGTTTCAGTCAGAACTTAACTGATAAGGAAATTACCCTTTATTTGACTAAATTTTCTGAATGCTTAAAATCCATATACTTTCAAGTTCTTGCTGGCTCATTGTCAGACAAACAAATTCTTTCCAAAAATAAAAATTTTATACATCGTACATTCTAAAGCTTTTTGAATAATTTAGAAGTTAAGTATTTTTTCCTATATTCTTTTCAATGTTTTTAGTATGTGTAGCAATAATTTTTGTCTTTATAAGAATTTTATAATGCTGAAGATGAGTCAACAAATCTGGAAAGCATAATTTTTTATTAACCTGAATAATTTATTTAGATTATTAATACAATATTTTTATATTTAGATATAATGTCAATTACATGATTGATAAAAACTGTTTTATCATATGTTATATATGAGGTGCAGTCAAAAAGTTCCAGGAATAGTGATGTGATGTTACAATAACAAGGTTGTGGCAATAGTTTTCATTTCTAAAATGTGAATGTTGAGCGCTGCTATCTTGTAAGCAGAGCTCAACGTTCACATTTTAGAGATGAAAACTTCAGCTGCAATTTCCCTAATAAGCCACATGCTGAACTTGTGCAAACTAGAATGCATAATAGACATTGCTATTTAGTTTCCCACTAAATTTCGTGCCTTTATTGTATATACAGTGAGTGGGTGATTGGTTAACGAACATAATCTATTCCAAGACTTTGTTTGCTATCTGAATTGTTTGTTAACCGATTATCAATTTACCATTGGTTTTAATGGGAATTTAATTAATTTGTTCTGGAGACCTCCAAAAATAAAAAATATATACTTTCTTACTACGTTTATTTATATGTAATAATAAAAATTCATACATATGCAGTCTTACATTTTTATTAGTCATGTTTTTTCCATTTGAAAGGGTTAAAGAATCTGTCTAACGTCAATTGCTTTTCTCTCTTCAGGATTTTTCAGAAGTAATTAATAGCATTGTAATTGTAGAAATCCCCAAGCCTCAACCTCGCTTGTATGCCATTCTAAGACTGTTGTTCTGACATCCTCTCACTTCTTCAAAAGATCTTTAATAGCAAATATCGACATTAATCCTCTTTTTCAGAAGAAAACATATCTCGTCGAGTTTCTTGGCTTTATTCCATCGTCAGATCCGTTTCAGGTTCCATTATGAACTCTTCGTTGTTCTTTATTTCTCAGATGTGATTTTTGTTACTCCTTTAGCTGCTTGAGTCTTCTTCATTATACAGTATCTTTCTTAAATAAGATTGAATTGCAGCCTACTGTAGACCTGTTCATGCCATACTGCCCAGTAACATTAGGCATCTTCTGCCCACTCTCTGCCTTTGCTATTATACTCTCACCTTTCGTAAAGAAAAACAGACGCAAAACTTAATGATTGCCTACCTGACAATCTTGCAAATACGTAAAAGAATTGTTTTGTCAGAAAAATAAAAGGCTGGAATTACAAGAGAGAGTTTCAAAGTTCGAAGGAATACTATCAGATCGGTATATACCTGGTTGAGCGTCGATGTCAACATCTCCCACACTCTGAAAAGTTTCAAATTGTTGCTCGAAGACAAGGGAAGACCAATCGGTATTCATTATTTTACGTCTCTTCTGTGTTTGTTCTGTGGGGTGTTTGTTGTCCGAACATAAAAATCTTTCGTGAAAGTATTCGTTAACCGATCACCCACTGTAGTTTGTTTCTTGCTATTTAGATTAGATCCATGTTTTGTCAATGTACAATTTTCATTGCTTTGTAAAATGATTTTTTTAAGGAACAGCATGTGTGCATGAAATTTTGTTTTAAACTTGTCTAAGTCTTGCCAAGTTTGAAACAAAACTGCAACAGAAAAAAGTGACTACAGGAGACAAAACATGGATTTACTGCTATGACTCTGAGACCAAACGTTTGACTCAGTGCAAAAATCATGACTTGTCCAAACCAAAGAAAGTATACCAAGTGAAATGCAATCTCAAGAGCATGCTTGTTTTTTTTTATAGGGAGGGAATTATTCTTTGAGAATTTGTTCCACAAGGTCAAACTGTGTATCAAAATTTTTATATGGATGTTTCAAGGTACCTGTGTGATGAAAATGTCAGACGAAAAAGACCAGATGTTTGGAAAGATCAAAACTAGTTGTTGCATCATGACAATGCCTCTGCTCACACAGCTAGTCAACAGTTTCTTGCCAAAAATAAAATGGTCATGGTTTACCCCCTCTTCTTCTTCACCAGATTTGGTGCCATATGACTTTTTCTATTTCCACGGCTGGAAAAAAGTGCTGAAAGGACAGTGGTTTGACAACATTGATGACATTCAAACGGAATTCTTAGCAAGTGCTTAATTAATAACATCAGAAAAAGAATTCCAGGAAAGCTGGAAAAAGCTTGGAATTTATGTATAGCTGCAGAAGGAACTTATCTTGAAAGCAAAATTTTCAATAAATTAACATGTACATCAAACATTTTTTATTGGACCAATTCCGGAACTTTTTTGACTGCACTTCATACATAATTGATGTGATATTATACTTAAAAATATTGTCTGAATATTATAGTGGAACATAAAGAAAGAAAAAATACAATTAGGTTTTCAAAATAGACATTATAGAAAGAATATAATGTAATTACAGTAAGACAACCAAGGCCAAATTATTCTAATAATCAAGTGAAAATATCAGATAAACTTTTGGGACTATTTAATTACATTTGAAGTTCTAAAAAGTTAATCTTGCATTATTATTTGGTTATTACTTATGATATAAAATGAATAGATGAGGGTTCCATAAACAGGATTTCTGCTAGCTTTTCAAATATGTTCTCTAGTTAAGAAAGAAAGAAAAAAATTATTATTCAATTTTAATTCACATTTGTCAGTTTAGTAGTTTTGATTTCATTACTTAAAATCACATTTAAGTTAATAACATAATGAAATAGACTATGGATTAAAACAAAGAGAGGAAATGATAACTGTTATAATATTTTTTTCATATTACTGTTTTATTTTGCATTAATGTCAGATGAATCAAGCTATTTCTTGTATTTTTGTTTATAGTAAATATTAATTTAGTAGAATATTTCTATGATGACTTTTCTCAATGACATTAATAAAAGTGAATGTTTTTACAATCAAGAATACTGTATAGCATTTTGGTCATTGTGATATGTAGTAACTATAGTAGGGGGACCAAAATGTATGTCATTCTTGATTGTAGTGACGTACCACTTAGGCCTAATACATTTATTCAACAAAAGTTAAGCTATCTACATAGTAAAGACTTGATGCATTATAATGACTAGTCTAGCATTCTTAAATTCTTCTTGTTATCTAATTACTATTTAGAAAACATTACATGAAGATTTTTTTCACTATCTTTTAACTTGAAAGTTATTTAGTAATTTTTAAAATTTTATGTGATTGTTACTTTAATTAATATAAAACAACGTGTGCTGCAAACTAACATGCACATGATTATAATGTTGTCAAGCAGTACTTGTGTAAGTAATCAAAATGGCAAATAATGAATTAATTATTGTAATTATGAATTTAATCTTTGAATTAAACAAATATTTTGTTATTGTAGATGATATATTTCTTAAAGTATATTTATTTATCATTTTTTTTCTTATAGAATGATAATAGAAGATATTTTACCATTAGTACTTTTGGCTTCTTTAAAGATGGTTCCTTGGAAGTTAAAGTGGACAAATTCATGATTCCTCCAACAAAGAATAAAGAAATAGTAATCTTTTAATATCATGTTATGTTAATAGAATTTATAACATTACAGATATCCCTCAATTTACATGGTTTCAGTTTGATATCTCTTCAAATATAATAAAATAACTTTTCAATATTGTCTGTTATGAATAAAAATCTTTGCAATATTCACTTATTCTTTGTAAAATATCATCTTACAAATGTCTTTATTCTCAATCAGTCTTTTTGAACAATATTTTAAACTCAGAGTTATGGAAAAAAGTAATACCCTGGAACATCATCAGAAAGAATTCAAAAAGCATTTTTCTCACTTTTATTGTATTTTCATGTGAAATGTAACTTAACTTTTTCATATTAAAATTTTTTCTTATGAGTGAAGAATGACAATTTTCTTATGAGTGAAGGGATAGTGTAGAGTTATGCAACATTTTGTCTTAATTTAAATGAATTAAATTTACACAGTAGCTGCTGCAGTTGAATTATATCATAAATAATTTAATTACTGTGTAGATCAAGAGATAGCTATATATTAAAATTTTTATTTAGTATTATGAAAATTAATAGAATTAATTACATAGTAATGGCTAAGTTTTCATTATATTAGATTAAGTTTTATTGTTGCAATAACATTTTCTTGTACACACCACTACAAAAAGCTCTTCAATACAGTGTTGCAACATTGTAATCATTCTGATAAGGTTGAAACTGAAGGTGACATATTAAATGTTTTGAAGATGATGATGATTAAGTTCATTGCATAAAAATAATCTAAAAATCTGTGAGGTAGATTTAGCTTAGCAATTTTAATTGGCAAGTTGGATGAAGAGATTGAAGAACTCCCTGTTTTATTAGATATTTCTGTTCTGGAATGTTGCAATAATATTACTGCTTCTTAAGTAGTTAAAAAAGCCTTAAATTACTCTGAAAAATGAACAAAGATTTCTATATGAAAATTTGTTAATTGTTTTAACTGATGCAGTTCCATATATGATTAAAGCATGTTGAGGCTTACAAAAGCTGTTCCCAGAAATAATCCATGTAACTTGTGTCATTCATGCAGTTCATTGAGTAGTAGAATTAATTAGAAGCTCCTTTTTCCTAGTTGGCAGGTATGTATCTGAACTTAAAAAATATTTGTAAAAGCATAAGAAAGGCTTTTGTTGAAATCATAAATGTTCCTCTTCCACTTGAACCTGTTAGTATGTAATGAAAGGCATGATTAGAGGCTCCCTTTTATTACTGCAGCAATTTTAACAAAGTTAAGTCTTTTATTTAGTCCTAGGAAGATATGTAAACTACTGAAAATATGAAAATTCTTTTCATAAATTTATAATTACAACAACAACAACAACAACAATCTTATCCAACTTCAAAATTGAATTTCTTCAATTTACATAAAAGCTACAAACTAATTCACTTTAAAAAAAAAACTATTTTCTGTTTTTACTAACTTCTATAATTACTTAAATGTAAGATTATCATTAACTAAAATTCCTAGTCTTAGTGATTACATTAAACAGCATTTACTAAATCTTTTCTTTACTTATGTAGTTTATTAGGAATAGTAAGAGTAATTTTTTAAATTCAATATTAATTTATGATTTTATTTTTTAAATGATATATTTTTCAACTGTTTTAAAATGATCGTTTTATGTCTATAGTTTGGATTTACTTTAACAAGAACAGTTAGTGACAGTGTAACGCCATATTTGGTAAGTATATACATTATTTTATATGTGGGTAATTTCTCAATTTCTTATGGATCCTTTCTTTAGTATCACAGAATAAAAGAATATCAGAAAAATAGATTCATTATATTTCTTCAGTGACATAACGTAGTAAAATCTCATGACCCACTTTCAACTCAATTCTAGAAATGATGACCAAAACGAAAAAGTGTTATAAAATAAAATAGAAATAATGGAAGAACAAACAAAAAGTTGGAATTTAGTTTAAAAAGAAAATAGTATAGAGAGGAAAACAGCAATAATCTTCATTGTTTAAAATAAAAACGTTTTTATAGAACATTTTAAGATGTGTAATTATAAGATAATTAACAGGCATAAGAGATTACATACAGTATCACTAAACCTGAAATTCTGAGTAGTTCAAAAACCAATAACTTTTCGTGGAGGTTGTCTTCACATGAGTTATGGCATGTGACTTCCATTCAACATGTACTACACAGGTGTGTTGCATCAGTCATATCTCAGCACTTGTACTTTTGTTGCTTGTTGATATTTTGTGATTTTAATATGACTGTGAGAAACAGTGAGAAGCAGAAAGAAGTGCGTGTTATCATTGATAATGTTATTGCAGAAGTTTAATCTCAGTATATCTATGATAAGATTCTGATCTTACCATTCTGAAAACTGAGAAATTCTTATTTCTGAAACGTTATGTCCCCAAATGTTTTGTATAAGAGATTGTGTACCTCTATTATATTTAAAGAATATTTCATGTTTTTTAATTTCATCAAAAATAGTTTATAAATAATGTAAATTTAAAAAAAAAATCTTATTTATGTGTTAATAGTAATGTATTAATTATATTTTAATACAGGATACTCGTCAAGATCGGTGCTTATTGAAAGAGGATGTTATGACTACAGATAATAGTATTGATCTCGTTAGTTTTATTATGGATTTTGCTAACAACAGGTATAATTATTTTTATTTTTATTATATATACAATATACAAAAATATTTTTTAAAGTTTTGTTTACTGAGGTGAATGAGTAGCCTCTAATAAATGATTGACACTATAGAACTGTTAAGTTCCTGAGTTGTTTAACAAGGAAGTATAAGATATGGAAAGCTTAGAGGCAGGAGGTTCTGATCAACTATATATGAACTTCTGGTTTGGACTGGAAGTTGCATTATTTCAGTTAAAAAATTTTTTCCTGAACAGAGTTACCAGCATGACTCTATTGTTAACAGGAAAAGTATCACATACAGAAGCAAGACACTACTAAAATTGAGATCATTGTGATGAAAGATTACAGCTTGGTATTGTGATAATATCACAATAAATAATTGTTCATTGATAATACAAGTATGGAGAAAATAAAGTAAAAATTTTCTTAAAAAGATAGATTTTTTTTCAATCAGAACATAGAACAGAATAGTGTGTTCTCTGCTATTATTCTTTTGTTGTAAATATGCTAATTGAATTATGAATTACATGAAAATTAATTCTTATTTTTTTTGGTCATAGCAATCACTTTTGTTTATAAATCTGCTTTTGTACTTCATTGAGAAGAGCATTTAGTTTGACTATTTCCATACATTCTTGTTGACGAGTCACGATAAAACTCAAAAACATTTGAATTGTTGTTTCTAGCTTTAAATAATTTTTATTTATTAAAATATGTTTTCATTTTACAGAAGTCAATTGCTAATTGCTCATGAATTAGTTAACATGAAATCTATATTAAATACATTTATGTTTACTGAGAGTTCTCTCTCTCTTTTTTTTTATTTTATTAAACAGTCAAGAGAATATACACTATTAATCTTCTAATATGAATGTCATGTTTATGAGGCCTTTTGCATATTATAGATAATGATCTTGATATTTCATTTGTCAAAAGAACAGAATGTTGTTGACTGATAAAATCTAGATTAAAATATGACAATTTTAGGATAGTTAGGTGATATTTTTTGTCTCTCAATAATGAATTATTTCAAATTATAAGACATTTTAAACATGAAGTTAATTGGCTTTAAAATGTTTAAATAATAACAAATTATAAATTTTTGAGATGATTATTAAAATTAAACATTTGAATTTCAGAGTTACAGTGAAGTGCAGCAAATTATTTTCTAATTTAGCAATTGATCATGATCCACATTTTTATAAGAACACATCTTCTGATGAGTCATCTCGAAAACGTCGTAGCATTGCAGAATTAACAAGTGATACCTATTTGTTATTAAGGAGGAGAAGATCCATTTTTAAAAGAGGTAATAAATAGAAACAAGGTTTGCTGTAAATTAATGAAAAATTTAAATTTATGAAATATAGTAGCATCTACTTATTATAATTGGGGATATTGTCATCAGTTATCTAATTTTAATAGAATTAGTATGTTTAAAAAAATATATAAATTAAAATACACTTGTTAGGCTTGAGTATGAGGATAATATTTTTATGGGTTGTTAATGTAAATATTGCTAACTTCACTATGTGTGGTTATGTGCTTTTCAAGGGATCAATGTTGGGAGATTTTTTAAAACAGTGATGAACCAGGACAGGAGAGCAGTATCAAGAACCACAAGCAAAGGAGGATATGATTAAAGAGGATTCTTTGGGTTGGATGAATAGTTTTAACAAAGACTTTCTATGACTATAAACATTTATAAAACTTTGTTTATTGTAATCAGAGTTTCAGTTATACATATCATTATCTTCAGATAAATGTGTGTTTATCTTTTGTGTTGTCAGCCTCAACACATGGCTGATAAAACGTGCAATTATTTTAATTATTTTTAAATTTTAATTATTTTCTTGTGGTACAGTAGTACAGTACTTGTTGGCATTTCTTACTTCAATTACTGTATATGTAAGTTGTTGTTAAAGATACTGTGAAAAAAATAAGTCAAACAACACTGGATGAATTATTTTTGATCAATATTAATGATTATAATAAATAAATCTTCATCTTGTATATATTTTAATTGTTTTTAATTTCTGCCAATAAAACTGTAATTTCCATTAACTATAGTCTTATTTACTTGTAGCATGCTTACTATTATCAATATAAGTGAATCCCACAGTGATTACAATAAACAGATTCTATTTATTGGATGTACCTGGTCCTTTGAAATTTTGTAATATTATATTGTATTTAATTCTGTAATATTTAAGCAAAATATTTTGTTTTCATATTCTTCTGTTATTTTAAATGATATAAGTATGGTATTACATATCTCAGTTTATATATAAATATATGTTACTGATATATATTTATAGATGATAATCAGATATTTAATTTGCTTATTTTCTTATACTGTTAGCCTATTAAAACTTATAATAACACTGTTGAAAAAATTCATAATTGGTTTTTTAAAATTAGGATATTAAATTATTAGTTTTAAATTAATAACTTAAATAATTTTAGATTAGAACAGCATTGCTGTGATTTTTTTTATGCAGTGTTGAACTAATTCATCCTTATAAGTAGTAGTTATGCATAAATCTTATTAAACATTTAGAGATTATAATAAAACACAATATAGTCACACACAATTAAATATTTATATACAGTCGACCCCCCTATAAGATCATTGATTATTCCGTTTTATATGAATTCCATGTTGTACGAGTCACTTAGATTTTACAAATACATGTACCGGGCTGTGAACGGCTCACAAATTTGTAAAATTTAAGTGACTCGTACAACATGGAATTCATATAAAACGGAATAATCAATGATCTTATACGAGGGTCGACTGGTACCTGCAAAATTATCTGTTAACTTAAGAATCAAAGAGTCAAATCAAATTGCAGTAATTGATTTTTACATAATTTACTGTTTTATAGTATCATCATAAACTAAAATTGCATTTATTTTATGAATGGATCTACATTTGATTTTTTCTTTTAATAAAGTTAATTTGCATACAGAATATAATAATTTATTATTGTTGTTATATGTATGAAAATCTTAAAATATCTGTAAAAGTTCTTTACTAATATCTGCCTCGTTTTGATATTGAATTTGTTTGAGAGAAGGATTTTAAAATTACTTAATTATGAATAAATTATTATTGTTTTTGATTCCTCTGTATAACTTTAAACTTGTAATAGTTGCAAATTATTTTATTAAATTATAAGAGAGTTATTCTAAAAGAAAAGAACGTTTTGATCTGACATGCTGTGCAGTTCTCCCACCACCCCCACTACCATGGACCTTCCCATTTTTTTGCGCCAGTCTGATGCAACAGCAAGCCACAATGATCATTTACTGTTTACAGTGTGACTTTGAAATGTATGACAAAATTAAAGATCCTGCCAAGTGTGAGGTTCATAGTATAATATGCTTTTTGAATGTGAACAAAGTCTGCCCTATCAAAATTTACAGACAGCTAACCAAGGTTTATGGAAATGTGATGAATGAAGCTTCAATTCAAAACAAACTGTGGGGATTGTTGTCCAGAGGCATTGTGCTTCTTCAGGATAATGCATGTCCGCATGCTGCTGTGTTGACGAAGAACTTGCTTCAGTAGTTTAAGTGGGAAGTTTTTGAATATCCTTCTTATAGCCCGGACTAACCTCCAAGTCATTACCATCTTTTTTTCCAAAATTGATGGATTTTTTTAAAGCCAGGAATCACTATGGAAGTGACAACAAACTGAAAGAGACCATTAATGACTGGTTCAAGAACCTGGTATTAACTGAGTGTTCAGAAGGCATAGAAAAGCTGATGATACGCTATGTAAAATGTTTAAATTTGTATGGCAACTATGTAGAAAAATAGCTAAGGTATCATATGTGTTGTAAAATAAGTTTTGTTTCATTATCTTTAAAAATATCTAGAGAAACAAATGTTCTTTCCTTTTAGAATGACTCTCATATTAATTATTGATACACAAAGTTAAATTTTTTATTTATTTATATATTATATATACAATTTGTTTTCAGTATTTAATAAAGACTTATCTTTGCTAATTAAAATTTGTTACATTTATTTAGACACTTTAGGTGAAGAAATCTCAACTAAGCAAGGTACTAAAACTGAAACAGGTGAGAAAAGTACACAAGATGATAGTTCTAAAAGCACTATAGAAAAAACCAAGAATGAAAATTTGAATACCGCTGAAACTAAAGAAGATAAAAAGAGTACTACACAGGCTGAACCAGTTGTGGATACTTGTTCATCTAAAATCATCCCATTGTATAAAAATCAAATTGATAAAGCTTCAGAGCAATTTTACACATTTGAGGTAGGAGAAAATTTATAAAATTTAACAACCATAGCCAGTTTATTACATTTCAAAATAATTAAAACTGATATATTATTTTACATTTATATAATATCTTTATTGAATTTTAAGCTATATATTCATTATCAGATGACTGATTACATTTTATTAGGTTGTGAAGATAAAATTTAGACATTTTGAAAAAAAAATTTACTGACAACTTAATGATTACAGTTCAGTTGGTAGGTAATCACATCAATATCAATCTCATCTTGTCACCTTTGCTGCAAAATTTTAATCTTGTGAGCATGGAATGATGGGGTTTTCTTAAGGTGGATGAGGTAGAACCTCCTAACTCATACTGACCAGCTTTTCTAAGGTTATCTTTGCTCTATGTGCTGGCATGTTGTCATGGCAATATCAGACTTGATCAATTTTTGGACAAAGTTCTTTGATCTTGATGTTCAAATGATTCAGTTGTGTACATTAGCGTTCTTCCATGACAGTAATATTGGTTGGACTAGCTCCATCATGATGATGCCAAACAAATAGAGAGCATCTTTTTTTGCACTGTTACCTCTTTGGCATTTCCAACAGCTGGTTGACTTTTGTTCATCCATGAATACTTAATAAATGCTTTGCAAATGATCATGAGCATTTGTTGCTTTGTGCCCACTTTTGAAGTGATAGATCAACAGCATATGAATGTGTTCTTTTGAGAATCATATTGCCAGATATTGCTGATGAATCTATTTGCAATGAAATATGTGATGAAACGCTCTTTGGTTACTCATATACCCACATTGAACATTCTAGAACTTTTTTCCAGTCATTTCTAGAAAAAACTGAAATGTCTAAATTTTACCTTTATTACCTGATATATCTACTACAGTCGACCCCGCCATAACATTGGTTCCTATAGTTCAGATTCCTATATCACGGCAAAAAAATTGCGACAGTATTCATACAAACATGCTAAAAAACTCCTATAATTCGGTAAAACATCATCGCTGACTCGTGTTGCGACAGGATTGGTTGAATCTAGACCAATAGCGGATATTGCACAAACCGTTGAGTTTAAACAAGCAGCGGACCTACTAAAAACCATTTATTATTTAACATCCATAAAAATTATATGTATATTAATGATTTCTCCAAAGTTCAGTGAATTTTTCGCAAAAAAATAATTTATCAGAAAGCACGCAAGCACCATTCAATGACAAGCTCCACAACGAAAACAAGCTTAAGCAACGGCGTAGTTGAACGTTGCACACTCGGTAAGTAATCCTACAAGTTTTTGTTTATAGCATAGTTTATATGGATTATTCCCAAAAAATTATACGTATTTTGGAAATATTGAGTCAAATTAGTCTAGAATCGATTAATTTTATGGAAGAAACCTTTCAAACATCCGTAGTCCGTAAACTGCATATGTGCCAGGCTGTGATTGGCTGGACTCGTAGAAAATGGATTCATAAAAACCGGAACGTATCTACCGTGTTATAGGGGGGGTCGACTGTACTCAGATATATGGACTATTGTGTTACTCTAATACATTTAACTTAGGATAAATTTAAATATTTTAAAAATTCTTCATAGCAAATTTTTTTTTTTTTCTTTTCATTAGTCTAATGAATTTTTAATGGCATATAAAAACACACATTGATTCTAAATTTATCATAGAAACTTTAAGGTATTTTTAGTTCCTTTATACTGCATGCACACAGCCCTACTTCATTTACTGTCAGAAATCCGTTCCTGAAAATCAGATGTTCTTGAACAGAGAGCCTATTTCCATTATTTCAAATGGGAAATAGGCTTCTGATAATATATAACAATTGTGTGTTACAAAATTTACTCAAAATTTCTAATTAATATTTTAAAACAACTAAAGCATAGTAAAATAACTATAAGTAAGAAACATAAGACTTATCATATTAGGATGTGAAATGCTTAAACCATCACTTACTGATTGCCAAACAATTATTGTTAATGAACATTTGCTTGTATGCAATACATAGTCCACCTATTATATTAAAGCATTACATGGTATTTACATTAAACTTGTAAGTCATGGCAAATAATTAGTTATGTGCCAGATCATTAAAAATGTATATCCGCGATACGGATACAGATACGGATCTCAACTTTCGTATTCAGTCGGCGCCGGTGCTTGTGACCTTGGACCGATAGTTGATGCTTTGCGTTAGTAATGCAACGTGTTTTGACTTTCACTGTGCGTGTTTTTGTTTATAGTTTAGTGTGACACGGGATAGCATAGATTAAGTTTGTTTTTATTTTAATTTAACTCAACACTCTCCAAAGATACAATGTCGACAAAAAAGTTTAGTAGTGTAATATGGAAATATTTTACAATAGTAAATGTTGTTTGCATGATAAAATTTTTGCAATATGAATGTGCCAAATATGTGATTTTAAATAATTGTTGTTGTTATTTATGTGATTTTAAGAAATAAAAAGTGATTTGAATTGAAGTTATTAGTATTTTATTGCTACCTATCTTTAAAATTTCATATAAGTAATGAAATTCATTAAGATAAAATATCCGCTAAAAAGTAATGGATACAGATATGGATCTTTTTTTCCCTCAGATATCCGCGGATACGGATACAGATATCTGGCACATCACTACAAATAATATAACAATAGAGAGATATCTTAGAAAAATGCAAACAAAAATTTACAGTTAAATATGGAATAAATTGAAAAACACTTTTAAAAATGTTTCTAACACTTCTAAAAATTGTTGAATTGATTGACTACTGTTAATGATATCATAAAAGTGTATTTTGGCTTTCTGACTTTTCTTTTTTAACAGTGGTTATTATTACAAAAACTACATTTAATTTATTAACATTTAAGAAAAGTTATTGTAACATATTATAGAATTTGTTAATTGAAATCTGCAAATCCTTTTCAACTTTGATTCTTTTTATTAATGCATCATTTAAAATTTTGCATTAATAAAAAGAATCAAAAAGAATATTGATATTGTGGTATTTATTATTAACTTTTAACTTCATGCTTTCAAAAAGCACCATCCATTTGTTATGCTAGGTATACTTTTCATTCAAACCATTCGCTATCCCTACCTCTGAGTAGCTGAATTGTGGAAGCATGCCACAATTCAGCTACTCAAAGGTAAATTTGTTATGTCATCAATCTGAATAGATTATAGATAATTTTAAATTTTATCTCAAATCTTGTTAACCTATTCGATGTTGAAATTTTTTTTTTTTAAATAATAATTGTGTTTACTGTGTCATTAAAAATTATTGTTTTATGTTGCATAAAGTAAATAAATGTATTGAAAAATATAAAAACAAAAAAACTTATATTTTAAAAGTGCGTTTTAATATAAAAATTGTGACGCACAGCAACATCTAGTATCAAAAACGTTCCGATGCAGACACAAAAATATTCGGGATCGACCACACAGGCCAATGAGGTCAACACAAATATTTTCGGGAACAATGCAGGACAGGTTAATAAACCAATATAGGCTTTAATGTTTAAAAGCAATTATGTATGTATTTAAGTAATTTAAATTAAAGATAATTAAGTAAGATAGTAAAAATATGCATTTAACATGAAGTAATTGATTTATTGAAATTTAATTTTTCATATAACTTTACTTATTATTTTTAACTTGATCTGAAAAAATCATTAAACTACATTTTTATTGTACTTTTTCCAGTTCAGAGTGACAATAAATGATGATAAATATGAAGGTCTTTATAGTTTGTATTTTCATAATTGTGCTAATGAAGGAGAGTTTAATGAAATTGTAACAGCTGTCAACCTTTCTGTAAGTAATCAATAATATTTTATATATTTAAACTGAATAATAATAATTTTTACTTGTTTTTATTGATTTATAAATTTGGATTTTCAGATATTTAAAATTTTCTAACTGAATTATGTTAAAAATCTTAAAATATCAGAGATTTTTATTTTTAACCACTACAGATTTTTTATAGTTTTTATGGAAACCATATGTAAATGATGGATTTATAGATTACTCTCTAAAAGCTATGGAATGATCTTTCGTACTCTCAAATAAGTGAATAAGTGCACTAATGCAACAATATGTGTAAGTGTTACTTAACACTTTGTCCTATGAAATCATTATATACTGAATTTCAAACCAGTTAGAGCATTCAATGACATGTAATGTAATGTTCAGAATGCTTCCAGTTCACAAATGGCTGATTAAGAATCTTGTATAAAAATTGTTCTTGTGCATGACAGAATTGAATTGCACAGTTCTAAAATCTGTCCAAAAAAAATTTGCACTTGTATTTAAAGGTGATGCATGCTATTCTGACATCACAACTAAGCATACTGGAAAAACCCAAGCAAAGAAATCATGTAATGTATGCATAAGGTAGACAAAATGACAAATTCTGCCAATAATACAAATTTTATTCTATGAAATTAGAAATACAGTATCAATTTAAATTTATTTTAAAAATCTTTTATAAAATAATTTATTAATAAATATTTAAAATTTTANTTACTGAGGTGAATGAGTAGCCTCTAATAAATGATTGACACTATAGAACTGTTAAGTTCCTGAGTTGTTTAACAAGGAAGTATAAGATATGGAAAGCTTAGAGGCAGGAGGTTCTGATCAACTATATATGAACTTCTGGTTTGGACTGGAAGTTGCATTATTTCAGTTAAAAAATTTTTTCCTGAACAGAGTTACCAGCATGACTCTATTGTTAACAGGAAAAGTATCACATACAGAAGCAAGACACTACTAAAATTGAGATCATTGTGATGAAAGATTACAGCTTGGTATTGTGATAATATCACAATAAATAATTGTTCATTGATAATACAAGTATGGAGAAAATAAAGTAAAAATTTTCTTAAAAAGATAGATTTTTTTTCAATCAGAACATAGAACAGAATAGTGTGTTCTCTGCTATTATTCTTTTGTTGTAAATATGCTAATTGAATTATGAATTACATGAAAATTAATTCTTATTTTTTTTGGTCATAGCAATCACTTTTGTTTATAAATCTGCTTTTGTACTTCATTGAGAAGAGCATTTAGTTTGACTATTTCCATACATTCTTGTTGACGAGTCACGATAAAACTCAAAAACATTTGAATTGTTGTTTCTAGCTTTAAATAATTTTTATTTATTAAAATATGTTTTCATTTTACAGAAGTCAATTGCTAATTGCTCATGAATTAGTTAACATGAAATCTATATTAAATACATTTATGTTTACTGAGAGTTCTCTCTCTCTTTTTTTTTATTTTATTAAACAGTCAAGAGAATATACACTATTAATCTTCTAATATGAATGTCATGTTTATGAGGCCTTTTGCATATTATAGATAATGATCTTGATATTTCATTTGTCAAAAGAACAGAATGTTGTTGACTGATAAAATCTAGATTAAAATATGACAATTTTAGGATAGTTAGGTGATATTTTTTGTCTCTCAATAATGAATTATTTCAAATTATAAGACATTTTAAACATGAAGTTAATTGGCTTTAAAATGTTTAAATAATAACAAATTATAAATTTTTGAGATGATTATTAAAATTAAACATTTGAATTTCAGAGTTACAGTGAAGTGCAGCAAATTATTTTCTAATTTAGCAATTGATCATGATCCACATTTTTATAAGAACACATCTTCTGATGAGTCATCTCGAAAACGTCGTAGCATTGCAGAATTAACAAGTGATACCTATTTGTTATTAAGGAGGAGAAGATCCATTTTTAAAAGAGGTAATAAATAGAAACAAGGTTTGCTGTAAATTAATGAAAAATTTAAATTTATGAAATATAGTAGCATCTACTTATTATAATTGGGGATATTGTCATCAGTTATCTAATTTTAATAGAATTAGTATGTTTAAAAAAATATATAAATTAAAATACACTTGTTAGGCTTGAGTATGAGGATAATATTTTTATGGGTTGTTAATGTAAATATTGCTAACTTCACTATGTGTGGTTATGTGCTTTTCAAGGGATCAATGTTGGGAGATTTTTTAAAACAGTGATGAACCAGGACAGGAGAGCAGTATCAAGAACCACAAGCAAAGGAGGATATGATTAAAGAGGATTCTTTGGGTTGGATGAATAGTTTTAACAAAGACTTTCTATGACTATAAACATTTATAAAACTTTGTTTATTGTAATCAGAGTTTCAGTTATACATATCATTATCTTCAGATAAATGTGTGTTTATCTTTTGTGTTGTCAGCCTCAACACATGGCTGATAAAACGTGCAATTATTTTAATTATTTTTAAATTTTAATTATTTTCTTGTGGTACAGTAGTACAGTACTTGTTGGCATTTCTTACTTCAATTACTGTATATGTAAGTTGTTGTTAAAGATACTGTGAAAAAAATAAGTCAAACAACACTGGATGAATTATTTTTGATCAATATTAATGATTATAATAAATAAATCTTCATCTTGTATATATTTTAATTGTTTTTAATTTCTGCCAATAAAACTGTAATTTCCATTAACTATAGTCTTATTTACTTGTAGCATGCTTACTATTATCAATATAAGTGAATCCCACAGTGATTACAATAAACAGATTCTATTTATTGGATGTACCTGGTCCTTTGAAATTTTGTAATATTATATTGTATTTAATTCTGTAATATTTAAGCAAAATATTTTGTTTTCATATTCTTCTGTTATTTTAAATGATATAAGTATGGTATTACATATCTCAGTTTATATATAAATATATGTTACTGATATATATTTATAGATGATAATCAGATATTTAATTTGCTTATTTTCTTATACTGTTAGCCTATTAAAACTTATAATAACACTGTTGAAAAAATTCATAATTGGTTTTTTAAAATTAGGATATTAAATTATTAGTTTTAAATTAATAACTTAAATAATTTTAGATTAGAACAGCATTGCTGTGATTTTTTTTATGCAGTGTTGAACTAATTCATCCTTATAAGTAGTAGTTATGCATAAATCTTATTAAACATTTAGAGATTATAATAAAACACAATATAGTCACACACAATTAAATATTTATATACAGTCGACCCCCCTATAAGATCATTGATTATTCCGTTTTATATGAATTCCATGTTGTACGAGTCACTTAGATTTTACAAATACATGTACCGGGCTGTGAACGGCTCACAAATTTGTAAAATTTAAGTGACTCGTACAACATGGAATTCATATAAAACGGAATAATCAATGATCTTATACGGGGGTCGACTGTATTGTATATTTTAAGTCCACACTTTATTCTTGTCTTTATAAGTATTGTTTCACATGTACTGGACAAGACCATCTGGCATTGAATATCCTATTACTAAGTTATGGGATCTTATGGGAGCATTTCACACATTTGTCCAGCAGGCAGACACCAGATACCCAGTCAAAGGTAGCCAGAGAATATCTAGGTGTTGTCCATTATCAGATGCTGGATATCTGGCACCAATATACCAAGGTCATTGCAACCTTTCATACAATCTATTCAGTAAGTATATGGAAGCAGCAAGAATATATGGTTCTGATAAAAATTAGAAACTCCATGTTTAAACTGATTGCTAGTCAGAGATGTGTGAAAGTAACAGATCGACAGAATATCCAGCATCAAATAGATGTAAAATTAGGCTAATTGTTCAACTAGTTTGATATTACAGCTAAAGACAAAAGGAGTCTACAATAACTTTTCTGGTAATAAATTCTAGACTGTTATCACTATAAGTCAAATTATATTTTAACAAATACTTCTGCTTGTGAAGTAAATTAAATAATGATGAATAATTTTAACTTAATGTATTGTAGTCAATTGTGCATTCTGTTTTCCAAAATTCTCTTCTTCTGTTACAAACCAAAATAAATTCAGTTTCAATTCAGTCATATAAAACTGTATTAAGATAAATTTTAGATTCATATATATTAAGAGAATATCAAAAAACTAGATTAAGATATGACAACAACAACATTTAAATAACAACAACTCAAAGCCTGAGTAGTATATAATAAATTACCAAACGATCGCCTAAATATCGGGCTATAATATGGCTAATTAAATGATTGGAATAAAGTAATTTGACATTAGAGGTAGGCGTTAGGCGCCATCTCTTAATTAAATTAATAATTAAAATTAAATAAATAAATTTTAGAACCTTCTGGAATAAAAGAATTGGCCCGGGACGGGGTTGAACCTGCAACCTCTGCTTGCCAGTTACGCCACCTGGACCCCGAGCGAGTCTTTGCTTCCAGAAGTATATTAGATTTAGATATAACCTTACTTGGTTAAATTACTTTATTCCAATCATTTAATTAGCCATATTATAGCCCGATATTTAGGCAATCGTTTGGTAATTTATTATATACTACTCGGGCTTTGAGTTGTTGTTATTTATA